AAGAAGGATGCAATTTCTGAACTAATTTTTTTACGCAATGTGAAATCCATCAAAACATTTAGAAAAAGAAGTTCAGATAATGTAATAAAGCCCTTATGGGAGGTGGAAATTAAAGAATTCACTGGCGATCGTAAATCACTTGGGAAAAAAAACAGAAACACTTAAGTTTGATGTTCAATATAGTGAAGAAGAAAATATTCCGAAAACAACGAAATGGCTTATGTGTGCAGGAAAAAAGAATAATAAAGATTCATGGGAGTCGATTGCAACAATTATTCCTGAAAAGCAAAATGAAGAAATTTTTAATGGGAAATTTTATTCATATCTTTCCCTTCGAAATTCTTCAGAACTTCCTGTAATTTTACATTCAAATGGTTGGGAACTTACGCCAAATAGAAGAAGCCTTAAATCAAATAGCGAAAAGAATATTAATATTTTAAATAATATTTCCGAACTTCATGTAAGACTCTTTGAAAGGCTTACGAAAATAGAGCATCCAAGAAATGAAAATTATCAAATGATTTCTCAACTCTGGCCGATTCCGGAAACCGAAAGTGATACATTTAAAATTAAAGAATATGGTAAAAAGGTATTAGAACGTTTATGTGAAAAAAATTCTGAAATATTTTGGTCCCCATATGGAGATGGCAAATATGTTAACTTAATAAATAGTATCTTTATAAATGATGACACGCCAAAAAATATTGTAGAGTTTCTGAATAAGCATAATTACTCTACAGTCAAAATTAAACCAGAGCACCTAAATGAATTCAAAGAAAAAAATGGATATCAGCAAGCTAGTCCTCAATTTATTCGAGATATCTTGAAAAATGATGAATCCATATTAGATTCTACAGATTTAACATTATCCGAGAGGTTTTCCTTGCTGAAGTATATTCTTGAAGATAACAATTATTGTGATCTTGAAAATATTTCTTTGGTTCCACTATTTGGCAACAAATTTGGAAAGTTTGCAACTGAGAGTAATTATAGCATGGCTACATTAGAACAGCTAAAATTATTTCCTAAAGTTGGATTGGAATACTTTATTCCTATTGATCTGTTAGAAGCACACGATTTGTATACAATATTTGTTAAAAATGAATTTCTCAAAGCTACAAATATTCAATTTTTCGGCGAACTAACAATCAGACGTTTTCTACAACAAGAGTTTTAAATAGGGTTCAAACTGGTCTTTAAACATTTTCATTGTGTGGTTTTCATCATTCTTATAGTTCTCAAAATCAATTATAGAGCCATAACATTGTTCGATGGAAAACATTTTTCTTTGCGGATCAAAAAAAATTATCTTCGTACCCGATAATATCTGTGGCATATCTGTAAAATGATAACATGATGCAAATCCCAAGCCAGATTTTCCGATTTTGTTAGATCCCTTGTCACTCCTACCAACGTTGTTGAGTGATACGAGGTCTTCTTTAATAGAAAATTTACTATTGTTATATATCCATATTGCTGGCCCTTGCCAGCATTTCATATCTTCTCTTAATAAAAGTTTATCCGAATATTTACATTCATCAAGAATAATACAAAACTGTGTTGCATTTGCATCATCTGCATTCTTGAGAAATTCTTGAAAAACAATTTCTTCATGATCAAATTTCTGTTCAATATATTAAAATATCGTTAATAAAAAGAATTTGAAGATAATGGGTAATATAAACTTATAACACATACTTCTAGAATAGTTTTCAAAAAGGTTGCTGTTACGTTATCATTTTGTTTAACAAAATCGATTCTACCTTTTAAGAATTCTTCACTAAAATTTCTAAGCCTTAATTTCTTTGCTATGTCTCTTGAAATTGCAGGATGTGCCATGACATTAAAATCCTTATCTGAATCCTTAACCCTTGTATCCATATCATCATAAAATAATCCTTTACAGGGGACCATTTTTTTATTCATGTTTGGGATCAACAGTTCTTTTAATCTATCTTCTGTTTCAGTATGAGATAGATATTCGATCATATCAATTATGGACTTTTGCGTTTTACTCGAAAATTCCAAAGTTTTAAGTGCCTCAAAATAATTCTGTTCATGTGCAACTCCAAGCACAACAAAAAGTTTTGAATAATTGTTTTTGTTTCGATTGGAAAGTGTAACCATGTCGCTTTTGATTATAGAAGAAAATACGATTTCTTCGCTTGAATAAAGTTTGTCATCATTAAAAATCCATTTTTTTTCCGATAATTCACTTTTCAAAAGGTCTGTATCAGTATTTGATCTGCTGACAACTTTGTTTAAATGATTATAAATCTTATATATTTGATCTCCTATTTCAGTATTAGAGCCCTCTTGACTTATTAAATCTGTCAAGTATAATAATTGTTCTATTATTTTCATTATCGGTGGATCATTATTCCATCCAAAAATTTGACGTAAATCATTATTTTTGATCTGATATTGGACTACTGGCATTACATATGAAACCAAATTTTGATGTAATTGATCTTTACAATCTGAAGCTTTTGAGAATGTTTTTTGTCTTTTCTGTTTTAAGGTTGGGATCCACGCTTCATTTTTAATTTTCTCACAGAACAAATTGAATAATTCATCATTCTCAAAATCATCATAACTGTCGTCAATATATCTTAGCAGTTGAAGGGATTTAGAATATCTATCACTGGTTTTATTTCTTGCATAAATTTCTAACCGATTGATCACATCTTCTATAGTCATCGAAGTTTTCATTCCTAATTGGCGTAATTTATAAAGATATTCTTGATCCGAATACTTTTCAATTGGAAAAAATGGTTCATTCGAAAAGAATAAATCTTTTATTTGGGAATTGTCTGGGTCAAAGATCTCATTTGGCTTTTTTCTAAATAATGATGTTGTAATAACAAATGGTATTTCTGAAAGATCACTTCGAAAAGGTGCTATGATCCTCCATCTTTCAAAAAGTTTCTCAATTAATTGATCTTTAATATGTGATGATTGATCATTTAAGTGCTGAATGACATGATCTTTCCAATATGTTCTTTGGTCTAATCGTTTAACTTTGAGTACTTTTTCAAGAATAAAACCAACATTACTAGAAGTATGGGTTTTCAAAAATGAGCAACGAGGTGAAATAATAGGTCCACATGATTGTTCATCTGGTTCAGGAAGCAAATAATAAGCTGTCCCAGATAATGAATTGATGTCTATCGCTTTGTTACTATTTACTTTAGTAAAAATCGGAAAACGCTTTAATACCTCTATTAGACTGGGATCAAAAAAATGCTGACGTTGCAAATAACTTCCAAAGTACTTAATTAAATATTCTCTGTCATAATTACTGAGAGAAGGTTTAGTGATGTTAGATGGAAATGATTGATTTTGTCCGAAAGATAATATGACAGCTTTAACATCATCGAGTTCAATTAAATAATTTTTAAGTCTATAATGATACAAGAATATGTTTAATAATTTCCAATAATTATAATCTAAATAAAATATTTCTAAAACAACTCACTTTTCATAGTTTGAAACCTTTTGTTTTTCAAACTCACGATCTATAAAAATAGAACCCAGCGATTCGAATATTTCAATCAAAAATCCAGGTTGCATATCCCCGATCATTTGATAACGTGGTGAATGGCATAAGCATTTTGGTATTGCTTTTAATTTTCTCAAATGAATAGCTTTATTTTTAATTATTGGTAAAAGATGTAGTTCATCAAAGTTTGACAAATTTCTGTTGGTTTTTTGTAAATAATCCCAAATTCCATATATCCATTGAATATCATTCATTCCGATCGGAATTTCTTGAGAGTTTTTAGAATATCCCTTCAATGACTTCTTAAGCATTTCCACAAATTCATGTTCTGAAAGAATCTGTATATTAATGTCTTTTCTATTTTTTGCATAAGATTTTAATTTTGATAAAATCACATCGCCAATTTCGTTATCAATAATTGATTCAAAAAGGTTTTCATCGATAAGCGTGTGCTCATTTTTGCCCGCAATGAAAAAATATTTCGAATTACTTCCTGGCTCAAAAGTTGTAAAAGTATCATTTTTGACTGGAAGCAATGGAAGTCCATGAAGATCGGAGACATCATTAACTCCAAGAATATATTCCAATAGAAGTAACTTGTCCGACCTACTAAGACGAACAATATTTGTTTGCCTGTCTGATTTCTTAAGATAATTGCATACTTTATCTGGTGTAATGTACTTTAAACCATTTTTGAAAGAATCTTGAAATTTGGCGACAATTTGTTCTGGAATTTTTACAAAAATGGGAAATCCTAGCTTTTCCAATATTCTTGATAAATCTAATGACTTACAGAAGTTCTCATCAGTTAAGTATCCACTCTTTATTGATAAATACCCTGAAGGACCACGAAAAACTTCAAGACCAGGCTCGAGACGATTAATAACATTTTGTAAAAGATCCTTCCATAGACAAGATTTAGTATTCAATTCTCGAGAGGGTTTATCCACTGGCAATGGCCAAAATGTATAGATTTTTTCGTAGGAAACACCTTTTATTTTTATTACTTCTGCTAAAAGTTTCTTCCATGCTTCAGGAATAGCTTTTTCAAATAAATATTTATTCCATGCACCTTTAAGAAGTAACATATCACCTGACGCCTAAAATTCACAGAAATCATAAATATTATTGCTAAATGGCAGCCATAAAATAATAATTACACATTACCAGATCGTCATTCATTGAACTTTCCAAACGTCTTCTATTTTTACTGACTGCAAAACAGCCATTAATCGAAACTGAAAAGTCTTCATAATTATCAGGCAAGGGTAAAAAACAATAGAGCTTTCCCTGATTTCTTGATATATTGTCAACTCGTGCAGCTAATCCAACAATCGGTATAAATTTACAATCACGAATGCGATTCTTGAATTTAATATATTTTTCATCATTTGTGTCAGAAATATAATTAACAATTAACCATTCACTTTTGTTATTGATACGCTTAGCTTTAGCCCTTTGGAAAAACCTCATCTTATAAACAGATTCAAAAGAATCTCGACCTGTCGTAGATAACATCGTTGATTTTATGTTTTCGGCTAGTAATTTCCTTTCACGAGATACGTCCTTCACATTTTCAATTCCAATTTCATACAAGAGTTCCGGAATATTACCATCTTCTTTAAGTTCGAAAAATAAAATCTTTTCAATGTGCTTTAAAAACAAAAGACAACTAATATTATCAACGTTGAAAAAAATATCAAACAATTTTTTTATGTCTTCGACTTTGTGTTCCTTATTTGAAATCTCTGATTCCTCTGCATCTCTAGAAGTTCGAAGTGGATAACGAAATATTGTCCCATTATAAAACCTGTCTGGAACATTTTCGAATTGGTGACGATTCTAATCAATAGAAAAATTAATATTAATACTAGTTGTGGTAAGAGAAATGATGTAATAAAGGGGTTTTGAATATAAAAACTTTTTTCTAATAACTCGACAATTATGTAATTGATGTCTAATAACGATAAGGAATTTAAACAAGATCCGAATAATTTTATTTCGCATTTAGAATATCTAATATCCAGTTCACTATATCCAACATCAATTTCAATCTAACATAACTACAAGTTACACCAAAATCCAATACAAAATCATAATAAATCGTCCCAATTCACAAACTTATAACACATTAAAATAGTCTCCAAGATTTCAAAAATTTTCTGATAAATATACTTAGATCCAATAATTGCAGATAAAAATTGAATTCAAACTGCTTAGATAAATAAAAACATTATATTTACCTTTTTAATCAATTCCGATTTTATGAACTCAATCAAAAAAGGGTCGAATTGATCAGGATGCTAATGAATAGAATGTAGTTTTATATATATTATTAAATAATTATAAAACACAATTAACAATTAAAATAATTTTTACTTCATTCAATAAGTCGTGTTCTAAGAAGTCGGCTTTGAAACCTCTTTGACCAGGTTTCACATTACAATATTGACGCTCGTGAGGGTCAATAAGGACATAGGAAGATCCAGAAATTATTGAGCTCACATCTGAGACATGGAAAATCGAGTTGAACCCGATACCCATAACTAAAAATTCAAATATTATATTTTAATTCCTCTAATAATTTTTTATGAAAAATATAGTAATAATTTACCTCCTATTTTATCATATTTGTCTATTTTCATACTGTTCGCCAAATTAACCAAAGATTTAAAGTCTTCTGGTTGAAAAATAGTATCATTTGCAGATAAAAGTGCAGGACCTTGATATCTTTCAAGTTTTGGATCACACAACTTTTCAGAAGGATAGGTTTTATGGTTTAAAATAAAAATTTGAACAGAGCTTTTTGCATCATCAGAATTTTGTAAAATTTCTCTAAGGATTTGAGATCCATATGGGTATTCAGTCAAAATATTCTTAATTCGTGTTGTATACTTTTCATCCGGGTGAAAACTTTCATAAATCGTTGTATCAGACATCATTATTAACTATATCGACAAAGTTTGAAAAAGATATAGTATAATTAGGTGATAAAGATTTATACGTATTTAGGAAATAAGATTAAATTGCTATTTGAATCGCAAATAATGTAAATGGACCGAAAAATGCTAAGCAGGGATATGCGTTGCTGGTTAAAACCAGAATTTGACTTAATTGAGCATGTGAATGCGAGGGAGTACATGTACGTACGTACGTAATCAGATAAGTTTTACTATTTTTGGTTATGTTAAGCTAAATTATTTTGGCCACATCCATTTTCCGATTAAGGTATTACAATTCGTGAACCGCCTTGAGAATTTATCCCCAAATTATTGTCGGGATGGCGATGGCGGATGATCACGAGTTTTAGATTATGTATTATATTGATATCGAAGTATATAGTATTGTCTTATTAAAATATGTACATAGTCGATCCAAATTTATCGACGAGACTAAATGTGTTCTCAAAACAGCCCTAGCATCGCCCATA